CCCCCCCTCCTCTCCTTCCCGATCGAATGCTCATTGCGATTGGCCGCCCTACTTCGTCACCGCGCTGCCGTCCGTCCTGCAGTACTTTTTTTCCTCCTTCCCTTGGGTCGGCGGGCTCCGTTCTCCTTCCTCTTCGTCGTCGTCCTCCTGCTCCTCCTGCTGCTTCACTCTACGGAACCAGTTTGTCGCTAACCTAACCGCAGCACAGGCGCGCGGGCTCGTGTGTGTGTGTGCGCGCGCGCCTCGCCTGGAGGGGGCTCTCTCTCTCGCTCTACTTCCACACCAAGGAGTCTAAGGAGCCCGCCGGCCCCGGCCGGGAGCAGGTGCCTGTGAAAGGTACTAGCCGCCTGACCTACCGTCACGGCAGCCACCCACATCACACACACTCACACCTGACTCTCTCAGACGCACAAATACTGGCGCGCGAGTCCACCGCAGAGCGACGGAACTGTAAAGTCAAAGGTGACAAACATTGCCATAAAAAGGCGACAGAATTTTTCCTGGTTTGATCCTTTTTTTTGTGTGTGTTTTTTTTTTAGCCTTTTTTGGTTGAGATCGTCATATTCGAGTTTTGTTTGTTTATTCACTGATTCGCGTTTTGCAGACGCTAGAAAACGAAATTGATACATAAATGGCGTACTGCCTCCTACTCACAAGAGAACCAAAAAAATCCCAAGAAGTGCAATTGTAAGTATATAAAACGGCCCCTGCGCCTGCGTTTCTGACGACGACGACGAGCTGGTCGGCGGGCGCTCGCTCAGTCATCCGCGCACGACGCATGGAAAACGCCCACCTTCGAGCCCATCTTTTGCTCACGGCACGGGGACGACGACGTCGTCGTCGTCGCTGCCGAGTGTATATCTCCCTCTCACTCTACCACACAACACGCTCGCGGCGGGAACGTTCCCACGACCCGCCGTGCCACCTTCCCTCGCTAGCGTTACGCTATTAGTAATAAAAGCACAAACATATATATGGCCGGTGCACAGTGTACCGGTCGGCTGGCGATGGCGCTGATACGCGCAGGTTGTTTTCCCCTGCCGCCGCCGGGCCCCGGGCCGGGCCGGCCGATGTTGATGTGCGGATTGGATCTGGTCGGACCGTGGAGGGCGGATGTGTCTGATTGGTGGTTGTCGGAGGGGATGCGGAGTGTGAGGGGCGAGAGAGGCGAGAGGGGGGAGGTCCCCGGAAGCGTGTGGCGTTATTAGCCGCGGGCCTGTCTCCACTCCGGATGGGTTCACGCCCTCCTCAGATTCACTCCTCGAGTCGTTCACTCCTGCCCTGCCTATGGCTCTGCCCGGCTCTGCCGCGCGCGCCCACCCGCGCGAGCACGGCGCGAGCAGCGCGTCCGCACATCGTTGAGCTCCTCCACAAGTGGAATTCCCCCGGGATGGCCGCCGGGCCCGCGTGTCGCCATCTTCTACGAACCGGCACACCGACCATTACCGCGGGTGGGCTCCGGTCCGGCGGGAGCTCTGGAAGCTCTGGGAGCCCTGGGAGCAGCAGCTCTGGGAGCCCTGGAAGCAGCAGCTCTGGGAGCAGCAGCTCTGGGAGCAGCAGCTCTGGGAGCAGCAGCTCTGGGAGCTCTGGGAGCAGCGGCAGCTTTAGGGGCAGCAGTAACTGAGAGAGCATAGGAGCAACAGGAGCTCAATGAGCAGTGGGAGTTCTCGAAGTTCTGGGAGCAGTAGCTGTCAGAGCAGCGGTAGCTGTAGGAGCAGTAGCGCTCGGTAGCGCTAGCTCTTGGAGCAGCGGTAGCTGTGGGAGCGGTAGCGTTAGCTCTAGGAGCAGCGGTAGCGCTAGGTGCTCTGGGGACAGCGGGAGTTTTAGGGGGCACCAGTTGAAGAGGTCCCAGCAATGGTTGTAGTAGTTCTGGGCGCGCTAGGAGCAGCAGCAGAAGCTGGGAGCAGCACCAACGCCACCCCGCGGTACCGCCTAACCGCCTGCTGGACTAGGCTAGGCAGACCCGCCGCGCACCACTGCCTCGCAGCGATAACGGCTGCCTACCTGCCAGGCGCCCGGGCCGCAGGGAAACAATCTACTTCGATCCTTTTCGGCCAGCCGGGCTTTGGCTTTGACCTTTTCCATGCCCCGGGTCTACACAACGCCCAGGCCTGGGCGTCAGGCTCTCCAGGCCGGCGCGGCCGGACCCACACGAGCTCTGCGCCCCCCCCCCCCCCCCCCCCCCCTCTCTCTCTCTCTCTCTCTCTCTCTCTCTCTCTCTCTCTCTCTCTCTCTCCCCCCCCCCCTCCCTCCTCCTTCGGTCCAAGGTCCTTGTGCGGGAGGAGAGCAGGCTCGAGCAGCCGCGCCAGACCAGACCAGACGGTGGTGGACCAGGAAGAGACGCTGCGCCGCTGATGTTCCCCTCCATGCTTCCTCCCGTCATGCAGGCGAGCGTTTTTGACACGTTTGCCGATCGTTATCGCGAGAGCATCAGGCGCTAAAGATCAAGTTGAAAAACAAAACAAAAAATAATGCGGTTTTTATTATTTTACTCTTGCGAGACTTGACCATTTGAGATCTTCTGACCGTGTGTTCGCGAGACGGACAGGGACGGTTTGACGCACGATCGCCGGAGCTCGCGGTGATGATGACGAATGAATGAATGAATTCGTACTCCGCTCGACGGGTTTCGTTGTTATTAGTTTTGTCGCCCCCCCCCCTTCCCCTCCACATCCCCTCCACGTACACCCGGCCCCCAGCGACCAATCAGGGCCTTGATAATGAAGCGAGTGAGCTGAGCGCGACTCGACTCTGGCGGGCGTTGCTCACCTTGGGGCCGCAGTCTCTCTCGCTCTCTCGCTCGCTCGGGTCAAGACGCTCTCACTCTCTCTCTTGCGAGGAGCGACAAAGAAACGAACAATGCGGTCGCGCCCGCACACCAACACTCACATGAAAGAGAGAGAGACAGAGACAGAGAGAGAAGGGTGGGGGTTTAGAAATACTTTTTTCTGGACCCCGGCCAAACTAGACATTATGATGTCACGACTGAGCGCGTTCTAGGGACAGAGATAGGGCCGTTGGGTGGGGTAAGGTCGGGTGGGCGTGGTGAAATAAGAAATATCACCTCGTGTAAGGGATTAAAATTATGCCTAGAAAAATGTACAGCGCCCAGCAAGGTTCTGATGAGAGCACATCCAGGATCGGCGGCTGCTCCGCAGGACGATGTGAGTCTCCCGGACTCTCACATGGCGCGCTCATCGAGCCGGTCCGGGACGGGACGCGCCAGGCTACTTCGTGCGCTTCCTTCTATTGCGCTCTTGGCCTGCTCTGCTCAGCTCTGCTCAGCTCTGCTCAGCTCTACTTAGCTCTGCACAGCTCTGGTCAGCTCTGCTCAGCTCTGCACAGCTCTGGTCAGCTCTGCGCAGCTCTGCGCAGCTGCTCAGCTCTGCGCAGCTGCTCAGCTCTGCACAGCTCTGCTCAGCTCAGCTCTGCTCCCCCGATATGACGTGGCCAATCACAGGAGAATGCGGTCCGGGCGGGGCGTGACGCGGGGGCCGCGGCGGTGCGGCGGCGTGCTGTGAGGTGCCCAGCCCCACACGAAAAAAGAAAAAAAAAGATTAGCTGAACAGCTAAACCCAATATGGGATACCTCATTATTTAGCTATGTAGCTAAAAACTGACTTATGTTTGGGTGTTTAGCTTAATTTTTAGCGACTTTTTACCTATTTAGCTATATTTGGTTTAATTATATAGCTCATATTTCTTTCCCTGCGGGGCTCTGCCCCCAGAGCGGCCATTAGAAGCTTATTCTATGCTAATCGGCGCGCAGAGATGACGCGCTGCTGCGGTCGGAGGGGGCCCACCTCTCTGGCCGCCTCTCTGGCCGCCTCTCT